GCAATCATAACTTCACAATCTGCGTAAGAAGTTTGCGTTTTTTTGAGCTTCCCGCTTCAAAAACGATACTACGGCACAGGTGATTATTTTGTTAGAAGAGTCGCTCCATCGTCGGCAATATTCATCATGGCCGACGCTTGCGCAGTTCCGCGCGTAATTCGAAGAGAGTTCAAGGTCAATCAAGGCGGGCGAGGAAAATATGAACGTAAACACGCCGATTGTTATCTGGTCTAATCCTGTTCAGGTGTTATCTCGTCCCATCACAGGTATTTTGGCGGATTGTCGTCGGCCATGATGAGTATTGCCGCCGATGGAGCGACTCCTCTAACAAAATGTTCACCTGTGCCGTAGTATCGTTTTCGAAGCGGGAAGCTCAAAAAAACGCAAATTTCTTACGCAGATTGTGAAGTTATGATTGCATTTCAGACTTTGCCGATGCGCTCATCGTGATTTTTGAGGCATTATCTATAGGAAACAACTCTTATTTTTGCTCTAGCAAAAGTTTGCAACAGGCCCATTCCGGACCTCCTTCCGGAATTTCCGCACTTTTTCAGTACTTCCGGACCGGCTTTTAAAAAAATCATTACACTGAAAAAGAATTCTCGGCGTTTTTACTACGGTCCGTTGGTACCTTTACCATCTCACTTTTGTTTACCAATTATCGGTAATTTTATCAAGACAGACTGGTAAGCTTACCCAAAAACCGGTATTTTTACTTTTTTTTCAGGTAAGAATACCGCACTTTTATTGGTAATCAATTCTCGGTAACTTTGCCATTTTATCTCGGTAATTCTACCACAGTCGATAAAAAATATTGGCGTTTTCACCGGGGTCCAGTAAAATTACCGAGAAAGTCGATAATTTTACCGAGATTTCTCGGTAAAATTACCAATTCCATAAATGGTAATTTTACCAAGAAAAAACTGGGATCAAATAGAACCCTGAATTCTTGGTAATTTTACCCTTTTCTTAGTAAATACACCGAGATTTTCTTTTCAGTGTACTATTTCCGGAAATTCCGGACCATGCAGTATTTTACCCACTGTGCCGATCACGAGAGGGCCTCTTTTAACCCACCTCAACACGCACGTCTACAGCGAAACTTTGCATCTGAGGGGTCTTTATTTCTGGTTTTGGCGCACGAGCGCTCGAGTTTCTGTCGCGTTGGTTAGACGAGAAGCGCCCTTGAATGCACGTCAACCCAACTTCGACGAACTTTCAGCCTCCCGAACCATGTTGCAGTTTCAAGCCGCAAAGCGCGGTGCATTATCGTATCATCATTGACTGAGGCAATTTTTGGCTTTGTCGTCGGAATGCGATGAAACCAAACTGGAGCAATGTGATGTCCTTGAAATTAATAGCGATTCTTCATCCAGGAAGTCAAACGGTGTTGCACTGAAAAATAAAAAGTTCGGTAAATCCGAACTAGTTAGGATCATATGGAACCACGATTTTGTTCGGTACACACGACCGAATTATTCGGTCTGCTCAGCCGAATTATTCGGTCTGCTCAGCCGAATTATTCGGTCTGCTCAGCCGAACTGTTCGGTCCACTGAACCGAACTGTAGGAATTTATTATGGTTCGGTCGCACAAACCGAGTAATTCGGTTGAACAGACCGAATAATTCGGTTGTGTGTACCGAACAAAACCTCGTTCCATTTGATCCTAACTAGTTCGGATTTACCGAACTTTTTTTTTTTCAGTGTGAAATAGTTTCATCTAAAAGTGTGATGGTTATTAGAAATAGGATTGCTAAAATGGGCGAGTTTTTTGTCTTTAATTTTTGTAACAATGTATTTGCTCTGTAATTATACCTATTAATTTCATGGATTTTTATGTATTTTTATGGACAAGCCGCGGTGCAGTATCGTATCATCACTGACTGGGGCAATTTTTGGCTTTATCGCTGGAATGTGATGAAACCACACTGAGTGATGTGATGTCCTTGAAATTAATAGCGATTCTTCATCGGGGAACTCAAACAGAGTTAAAATAGTTTCATCTAAAGTGCGATGGTTATTAGGAATAGGATTGCTAAAATGGGCGAGTTTTTTATCTTTAATTTTTGTAACGATGTATTTGCTCTGTAATTATACCTATTGATTTTATGGATTTGACGAGAATCGCATGCCAACTACATTTTACGTTGCCTGATTTTCAATCAGAGATTTCTTCCGATTTTTTTAACTGAGAACTAAGCAACATGACGCCTTGAAACTTTCTCTGAATTTCCCTCAGATTAAAAAAAATTATTCTTCCGAAATTTCAAGCCAGAATGTTGATTGGTTTACCAACAAGTGAAAAAAACAAGGCAACATTTGGTGTAGTTAAGCTGCCTCTGCTCAAATTTGTCCGATTGTAAACATAATTATACTCAGTTGATTTCACATGAGAGCATTTGCGAAATTGTTCGAATCATTTCAATAAATGTTCAGGGCCGGACTTACCTACATGCCGCCCACGGGCCGCCTGTATTTTGCCGCTTCCTTCTCATTCGTTCTAAAACTTCAATAAAAACCATCAAGTGAACGTGCCGGAGGGGGTAGGGGTGCAAAAGACGCGTTTACTCGTGTTGGAAAAATTTTTTGCGAAAGCCCCGTCAACACTACTAGAAAAAAGCACGGAACTTCGCCCGAAAATTAAGTTCCTAAATAGGTTAACTTATGTCTATGTAGACAAGGCCTTCCAATTATTAGTATTGAACGACAAAACTATGAAAGAACAAACATAAATGTGGTTTAATAATTTCAACTTCCGCCGCCGCGCCGCTATGACCCCGCTGTATTTGGCGCAATGCGTGAAGTATTCAAGTAGTCTTGTAGGCACTGTACGTTTTACGCCGCGCCGACCGCTGTTGACCGTGCTCTGTGTGACGCAATGCGTGAAGTATTCATGCAGTCTCGTAGGCGCTAATATGTGTTACATGCCGACCGCCGCGTCGAGGGCCTCTTCTTTTCATCTCAAGTCCTCATCATCATTGCTCTCTGCGCCGTGCACCGTTCCAGGCCAAATTGCGTGTTTGGTTTCTCTCTTAACTCGACTAATTAAAGGTGATGTCTCTTGTATCACCGGAAGACGACAAAATTAGGAATTACTATACTTTCAGGAAATGAGAGATTTTGTCACCTTTTCTTGTTTGTAATTTTTTTTCGGAATCCGATGTTTTTATACCTACATTTAGAAAAATTGCAAAATTTGCCGCCATGGGCCGCGGCTCATGTGGCCACCCCCTGAATCCGGCCCTGTAAATGTTTGATTTGATTTCGAGGATAATCTTACATAATCTTAAAAGCTAACACTCAGCCGCTCTGTTAAATAACTCGATTATTTGTCCTTGCTCTTCTAAGATTGAATGATAATCGAATTATCACTGATCGCCAGAAAAGGCGCATTCATTTCATAAATCATTTGGCATTACAAAGGCATACGAACTCCATTCTGGCCCAGTTATATGGTTTCACGATGATAAAGACAACATTTCAATAATCTGATCTTGTAACTTCAGCCGGGCAAAAATGCATAGCCGCCGTAATATGTGTATTCAAAGAATTTACGACCATGTTAACAAACTAGAATTCATGCGGTAATGGTTTCGCGAGAATGAATATTTTCCAAACGTAATTTAATCACTGGACGCCTCGGTTTTATGAAATCGAGCTCGAGTGTCTAAATTAATTCCGTTGGTATCTGTAAAAAGTAAATAACGAAACTCTAATAATAGTATTAGAAACACGGAGTATTTTCAAACCCTCGTTGGAGACTTGTTAATGTTTACAAAACCGATCGGAATGGTTATCAAATAATGGAGGACTGTTTTGGATAAATTTTGCGGTGCTTGGGAAAAACGTCGTACGAACAATTGGATGTTGTCGAATTTCTTTTTATGAAGAACTCGTCACTGAGGAAATTAATGAATATTTTCCTAGAGTCCCTTTATACTGAGAGTCAAGACAATTTGAATCCATTTCTGATTGGTTCCCGTATTTTAGGCCTCCACAGTGTCACAAACGGGAATAAAGATTACATTTTCACCAATTGCAAAGATTATAATCTGGAATGGGCCAGGGAATCACGGGTTCGGCAAGGAACAAACGGAATGAGAGGAGGAACGGAGAAAGGCATTTGAGAATGGGCCGATCAAAGATTACGAAAAACGTTCAATTTCTGTAATCTTTATTCCCGTTTGTGACATCCATGAGCCGAATTGTCTTGACTCTCAGTATAAAGGGACTCTATATTTTCCTTCAGCATTTTCAGATACTGAAAATTAAATTGCGAATGAATTGCGATTGAAATTCTCTAGACAATTGAGAGCTAAATACATGGAAGGTACCCTAAAAATGTGTAACTGTGTGCATGGAATTTAGCAACGCCTTAAGGCTTATCCGTCGTTTTTCCTTAGCACGACAGAATTAATGAATTCTCCTTCTTTTATGTAGCTTCCATTGCCCACCACCGTTGACAGAATTCCGCATAAATTTCAATTGGAGAAAATTTTGCGTCCAAAATGTATTATCATCACGAGATTTTGGATCGACTTCTGATATACAATTGATATATCGTAACAAACTTTCAAAGTAACTTAAAAGTATTTTTCAATGCCCCATAGAGAATTTGCAGGTGTCTATAATTTGATGAATTTCGTGTTTAAAAGGAAACTACTGAGTGAACTTAACACGAGGATACCTTTGGTTCATGAATTGAACAATTATTGGAGAAGATATGGCGAAACGATCTAATCTCCTAAAATACGTGTGTTTAAATGGGAAGTGCCGCCAAATGACGTCTTTTGTAGGCGGTGCATTTTCTCACTTTTAAATACATTTTTATACTATTTCCCATATCAGAGAAAAATTATAAAAAATACTGTGAAACCAGTTCTTTAAGCACTTTCAGATGAAACAATAAAACATTTGCGTGCAAATTCTCCATTTGGACAAATAGATTGCTCTCTTCCTAGGCATATCAGTTGGGAAAAACAAAGAAGGGAAAACTTACCCAGCTTTTCGAACGGCGCCAGTGCAGTTGAAGGAGGCGGCAGCTTGCCCGGTTTGCTTGGCACGGTGAGGGGAGTGGGGGGAGTGCTCTTCCGAGGCACCTCCCCCTCCCCCGCCCCCACCACCCTCGTCGTCATCGCTCACGGCCGTCGTCAGCGACATACGATCATCATCCGAGATCTGCAGGGCAAAAAGAAAAAAAAAATATGATTAGTTTGTCATCAATTTAAAATATCACATATTATAAATCGTGAGGTAGTTCGATGAAAATGACATGCAAAAAGAAGACATAACGCCTCTCAGATAAAAGTATTTAGATAGGCTGTGTCGAAAGAAATTGTCAAAACCGCGAATATAGAAATTCGAGGAATTTAGAATTTGGCGTGTAATTTAAACATCAACGAGAAAACGGAAGTGGAGGCTAATGCTGCCGTGCTAAGGAAGAACGCCGTATGAGCCTAAGACGTTGCCAAGTTTCTTTCGATAAAAACCGAATTTACTGGGCAAATTGTGAATATTTTTTCCCGTCATTTTCAGACAATTTTGTACGCAACTTAATCTAAAATGTCTGAAAATTTCAAGGAAAAATATGCACGAATGTAGTCAAATATGCATGTTTTATCATGGGAAATTTGGCAACTCTCGAATGGTTATGCGGCGTTTTCCCTTAGCACGGCAGAATGGATCAGAAGACAAGGTACGAATTTGATTCTAATACACGTCTCCTCATTGAAATTTCACGTAGGACACGATTTGCGCAAATAAAGATTACTTCAACGCTTTTGGTTTACGTTGGTTACAAGAATTTTGAATTACCCGCTCACAAGAAAAACAATGGTCTACTTGAATCAAAACGCGCACTACAGCCGTTTTGACAGGCTTCTTAATCGAGCTATGTTCCTTCCCCGCCAGTAACTTTGATACATTTTTATGGCTAACTGCTCGATGCATCGCTGAAAATGTTGAATGCCCATACGAATTAAGCATGCTTCTAACCAACTAAAGTGTTCTTGCACCGGAATTTCATCAGAGTATTGAACAACAGAATAAGAACGTAAAAAGTAAAGTAAATAAAGTTTTTCCTCTTTGACACCCACCCAGAAACACAGGTTACAATACTAAAGGTAGTAACTTTACGTAACTGGAATGAAGATACTCCAACAGAATTTTGAATGGTACGTCCATTAGTCCGAAACTAATTTTCCTCGGAGACTAAAAACAAAAACCGCTATCTGCACTTTAAAAATTTGGAGGTCATGATTTCAGGCCGCACTTTCCTGTTGACATATTTAGCGAACGGGATTTGGTAAGATCAAGGAAAACCGGCGACAGTCATTGAACTAACTGAAGAGGTGCGGAGGATAGTAAATTTGTCGGGAAACACGGATTTATTCATCAGTTGGGAAACTCCGTTCAGGCACTGGAGGTAAGTCTTCCATCGAGAAATTACCCATCAAATTCATTATGAAATTACCCATCTAATTCATCATGATCCTATCTTTTCAAAATAACTTAACCCGATTTTAGATGAAAATTATTCTTCATTCGCAGTCGCTGTTGCTCTATTCGGAAATCTCTAGGAAAAATGTGCTGCAACATTCTATCCCCGTATCTTCGTCAACTTCCCCTTCTATCTTTTCGAATTTTAGAATTACTCGTTCCATCTCAGTATTCACGAAATCGTAATCTAAATAGTATTTTTTGCCGTTCACCTGAACTTGATCAAAAAGAAATAAGGAAAAAGAAAATTCAGTTACAAAAGCCTGTGTCACACTATTAAAGCTAGCCATCAAAATATCAAGGTCAGGAGTTGGGATTGGTTTATTCGATGATTTGGACTAAATTCACTTAACCTTGACATTTTGAGGGAGTATTTTGATAGTGTGAAACAGGCTAAAGAGTCAAAGTATTTGAATGGTGAATGCCGCGTCCATATGCGGAACTCAGAACTTTTTGCAGAGGAGCTGGCATTCAGTGGCGATTTTGAGAGATAGAAGCAAAGTTTTTCCACCATTTAAATCATTAATTGAAAATATAGATTTCGATAAGACAAGCTGCCTCACCAAGATTCGATTGTTTTGCATACATTTAAATGGAGGAAAGACAAGATTGCCAACTTTCAACGATCAGATCAAATATCCGACGATTAATTTAATTCATTATTCTTTTCTTCATCACTCGGAATGATTACATTGTGTAAAAGTCAATAAATCGCATGCTCAAATATTACGTTTGCTTTAAAAACATTCTTACACTCATCTATGTGGTATATTTGTCGTTTTAGCTACTTGGCGATAAGGAACTAAAAAACTACTTAAACTACACATTCCTAGACTTCACGAGCATCAAATCCCTACCGCAAAAAGACTTCGAGCTGGAAAAGAAGGCGGTTTGCCTTCACTTGAATGATTGATAAGGCAATTACAACCGCCTTCATTTGAATGACAGTGTAAAAACCGTCGGTTTCATTTCAACGTTCACACAACGACAGTCACTTTCATTTGGAAAGTAGGCGACAACCATATGTTCCATTTGAAAAATACTAGTCGCCATCATTTATGAGATTGGTCAATCATTACCTTTTTCATTTATAATATTTAGACAAAAACCGCTTGTTGTTCAATTAAAAAGATAATATAATAATTAGACAATAGAATTTGCCTTCATTTGAATGTCATAGCGACAAATTCGCCTTCTTTGAAAAGATTCAGGAATAACCACCCGCTTCTTGAAGATAATTATTAAATACCGGTTACCTCCATTTGAAAGATTAGACGATGACAGCTGCTTTTATTAGCAAGGTTGGGCAATTCTAATCACATTCATTTCAATGCTATAACAGTACAAACCTAGGGCTTTTAGAACAATAAGTAGTAACAGTCAACTTCACTTGAACGATTAAACGATAACACGCGCCTTGATTTGAAATATTAGGCAATATTAGAACCCGCGGTTCGAAGGAATACTCTTCATTTGAGCGATTAGGCTACATTAGATACCGCAGTTCGAAGGAGTCGCCTTCATCTGAAAGAGTAGGCACAATTTACTGCAGTTGGATTTAGTCGCCTTAATCCAAGAGATTAGGCAACATTAGATTCCGCGGTTCGAAGAAGCCTCCTTCATCTGAAAGATTAGGCAACATATAGCGCAGTTCGAAGGAGTCGCCTTCATCTAAGAGATTCGGCAACATTTACTGCAGTTGGATTTAGTGGCCTTAATCCAAGAGATTAGGCAATATTAGATCCCGCGGTTCAAAGAAGCCTCCTTCAAATGAGAGATTAGGCAACATAAACCGCAGTTCGAAGGAGTCGCCTTGATCTAAGAGATTAGGCAACGATAGATCCGGCGGTTCAAAAGAGTCTCCTTCATCCAAGAGATTAGGCGATATTAACCGCGATTCGAAGGAATCGCCTTCATCTGAAAGATTAGGCAACATTAGATCCCGCGGTTCGAAGGAGCCGCCTTCATCTGGCAGATTAGGCAACATCAAATTCCACAAATCGAAGCAGCCACCCGCAGAGTCGACATGAAGATCATTGCTCTCCTGTCCATTTTGGCTATGAGGAGTCACGAGGTCGTTGGAGTGTTCGATGCCGGGGCGCAGTACATCGAAACGACAGGGGCGCACGCGTTCTTGGCCCCGGGGCCGGACGACCAGCGAGGGGTGTGCCCCGGCCTCAACGCTCTGGCCAACCACCGCTACTTGCCCCACAGCGGGATCGTCACCATACCGCAGATCGTGGAGGCCTGCAACGCAGTCTACGGAATGGGCACCGACCTCGGTGCGTTCCTGGCTACCTACGGTTTCGCCTTCGACGGCAATGTTGCCAAACTGAGCATCCACGGTCCCTCAGACAATGTCACAATGGCCGGCAACATCCCCAAAGGCCTCACTTACAGCCATAATAATTACGAAGGTAACACAGGTTATACTACCGTGCATGGGACCCGAAGTTGAGGTCATATGGATCTCCGAAGTTTTCTGATCACGCATCCAAAAACTTGAGGTCCAACTGCCGAAGTTCGGGTCAGACATCTGAAGCTCTCGGTATGTACCTGAGTACTTCAGATGTGTGACCTGAACCTTTCGGTATGTATACCGAAGTACTATACATAGAAGTCTGACCCGAACTTCGGCAGTTGAACCTCAAGTTTTCGGATGCGTGATCCGAAAACTTCAGAGATCCATAGGACCTCAACTTCGGGTCCCATGCACAAAGTTTTCTTCTCCGTGTGCTAAGGAAAAACGCCGTATGAGCCTTCAGCCTTTGCCATATTTCCTTCTACAGAAAAAGAATTGTCAAGGAAAATTGTGGATATTTTTCTTAAACATTTTCGGACAATTTTGCACGCAATTTATTTTATGTATCCAGAAAATTTCGAGGAAAAATATGCATGAATGCTGTCGAAAATACATGTTTTATCAAGGGAAACTCGGCAGTCCTCGATTGTTCATACGGCGTTCTTTCTTAGCACGACAGTATAGGGACTGTACATTAATGACGCTAAGGGGCCGTCCATAAATTAGGTACCCGCTCACGGGGAGGGAGGTCTAGAGGTGATAGACGAAGGGGGAGGAGGGAGGTTACCAAATGTAACCTTACTGTATTAGAAAGAGAAAAGTACTTAGTGGACTTTAGTCTTTTCCTATGTGCTTAAACTTATTTTCGAGTCATTTAAACATACGAGTCAATGTGTGATACACCTGTGGCAAGGTTTGTTACAACCCCACGCCTACGAAAAAAGGGGGTACGCTGTAAATGACGTAATTTTTAGAGGGCCTGAAGGTGAGAGACATTTAGGTGACATAATGGGAGGAAGGGGTAAAAGAATCGAGAAATGGGTGCCGTAATTTATGGACGGCCCCTGGTGTTTTTTTTTTTTTTTTTTTTTTTTTTTTTTTTTTTTTTTTTTTTTAATTCATGGAATGTATGGAACGCAGGAACCTCTACGGATGTCAGGATGTCAGGTTCCTCTACGGTTCGGACGACAGCCAATATAAGGCGCTTTTTCTGGTGATTTTGAACCATCCCGATCTCCCGAGACACGTGACCAATGTGAAAATTTGACCCTGAAAGCTCAAAAATTGAGATAAATGTGACGTCGTGTGACGTCCTGAAGTTCAAAGATGACAGTTTTTAGGTTTCAGGGTTTTAAGATCGCAGAGGAAATTAAGGTCCACTTTCGGGATTCTGACAAGAACATAGAAAAGAAACAGAAAAGGAAAACGTATGCACCGTTCGTTTCCCTACGAACATAAGTGTTTTATGGATAAACCCCAAAAAACCCAAAAACTTGGGTAAAGAGATTCCGGGCAAGTCACCATCCTCTTCGTCATGCTTTCCAAAAAATTTCGCCTCCGTCAATGCGGGAAATGAGAAGAGAAGATGAAAAATAAAGTTCGAATATTTTTCTGACCAGACCAAAAGACTTCTCATCTGAGGAGCTTTCGTGGTCAAACAGGACGCGCTTGTTGCATCATTCATTTTTGAAGGGGATTATTGCGTAGGGAAAATCTTAGGAGACCCTTCAAGAAAGTTTCCGCTGACTTCGGAGTCGTGCGGGTTGCATCAATAATTTTGGAAGGCGTTCCTGGTGCCTCTCATAGGCATACCTACCGTGTATGGAAGAAAATGATAACTCGATTTTCTTCTTCTTCAAGGTAAAAATTTTAGCTAATTTTCAGAAGACAACGTGAATTTCAATCAAACTTGCCCGCCCCTCAAGGAGTCATTTCATGTACTTTGGAGGCACATACCTACAAGGAAAAAATGGTACGGTGTGCGTTTTGGTCCAATGAGGGGCTGCCAGTCTGTCTGTGACCTCCTGGAGATTTTGTTAAATAGGTAAATGTGTAAACGACTAAGAGTTCCGTTCTTTGGTCCGCATGGGGTACTCTATGACAGAAATGGAAACTGTTGTATTGTGATATTTTCTTTTTCCACTGAAGAGGGGAACAAAGAGGAGCTTTTGGAGGTTTTTGGCAAGAGGATGGTGACTTGCCCGGAATCTCTTTACCCAAGTTTTTGGGTTTTTTGGGGTTTATATCATCTCATTTTTGCAAGAAGACTGTCATTTTACCAAATGAAGTCCCCCACTTGTGAATGAATTGGATTACATTTTGCAATAAGGAGCCATTACCTCTGGCTCTCCCATAAAAGCACATATCTGCATAGGGAAACCAATAGCATGTATTCTGTTTCTAAAATGGACCAGAAATAGTGGCTCCTAATTGCAAAATGTAATCCATTTAATGCTTATAGCTATGAAGTGGATATCTCCTTGCTGTGTCGCAAAGTTTCTCGGGTCCGTCTTATTTTTTTACACCCTTGAGTGTCATTTTTAATTAATCAGTTCAAAGCTATTTCGACGATTAATCTTTAATTGTTAGATCGAAGAAGAAATTTTCTTCGGAAAGCTATGGCTGAATTGACTTTACAACTGAACTTGTGAGAGCATCAACTGAGGCAAATTTTGCAGAAAGTTATACATGGTAAGTGATAATTATTTCAACGCTCTCTTAGTTTTAAAAAGAGATGATAGTTTTAAAAATCAAAATCTACACAACTGTAGATATCCCTGAAAAGAAATACAATTGTAGAATCCCAAGAAAAGAAAAAGAAGAAAGAAAAGAAATACGAAGAAATTCAATGATAAATTTCAACTACGGAAGGTACTTATTTCAAATTAATTGCTCTAAAAATTGTTCCTTCAATGAGTAAATAGGCAACATTCTCAACACTACAATGCAATAGAAATAATTTTACCATGGAATTGAAATTCAAAGAAATGTGTGCTGCTTGAGTAATAGAAGTTTGGAAATCAGGGCATTCAACAGCTTCCCAGACCTCATTAGTGTTACAATCTAAAAATTGTAAGGATTAAAAGTGTCAAGCTCTCAAAATTTTTGTTCTCTGATTATCAAGAAGCCCTGCTAGAAATGTTCAGTGTCATTTTTATTTTTGTTTGTGAAAGGAAATTATTTTAAGATTTTTTGGCATTCTTGGTGTCCTCTGAGACTCTGAAAATGTTTGTACTTTATTTTTCATCAAATAATGAACATTTTCATTGTAATTTTGGTCTATTTAGGAGAGTACATTATTCCATGATTATCTTCAGTATGTATTAGATCTTTCCCCCAGCGACAAGGTTTACTGAAATTTTATGAGATCTATATAGTTCTCATAGGTACTGACCTGCATCATGGTCAGTATCATCTTTGAGGAGTAAATGAAAACAAATCATTTTCTCTTGGTTCCACAATTCAGGGCGCTGATGAATAAACCCTGTTTGACAACAATGTTAGTAGGTAAAATTGCTCCCTCCAAAATCCTTTAAGCGGTATCAATTTAGTGGTAAAGTTATCAACGACCCTCATTGAATCTCATCTGGTTCACTGAATTTCTGAGAGATAGACAGGGTGACAGGTTCTGTAAAAGTTAGGAAATTAAGCCCTCCTCACTGTGAAAATATGTCAGGTAGTTTTGCTGCGGAGCATTGAAATTCCTTCTCCCAGTAAAAAAATTGGACTTTTCAGTTTAAAGAGACTAAACACTTAAAATTAAGTCAAGTAAAAACTTAAAATTTTTGTCAAAAGAATTTTTAAGAGAGACACATAATGTCAAAAGAGGACATTCCAAAATCAGAGAAATGTTAGTGACCTCTACGCTTAAAATCCCAGAAAAGAATTTTGTGCGCATCGCAGTCATTAATTACACAGTTTTCAGAAATTATGTTGAATTATTTATCAGCAGAGAAATGAAAAGACTCTGAAAGTCTTTGCGGATGAACTTTGTGGATTGCGGTAAGTAGTTTCCCAGTTTGGCCATGGCATTGATATATTCGTTTCGTCATTAATCACTATCAATAAAAATATCCCTATCTACCGTAAATTTTGGAAAACCAGTGTGCATGTAATCTGGTAATCCTTAATTAATCAACTGTAGATTTCTTACCTGCTAAACTGCCTGATGAGTTGAAAAAAATGTTCACTTTGAGACAGATTCTTATGTCCTGGTTCATGCTTTCGTATAAGATGAGTTGCAATGTCGATTCTGTCGTAGCTTTCAGCAGAAAATTTCTTCCTTGATATAACGTTTGATGATTCATCGTTGAGATAGCTTTGAACTGATTGATGATGAATGGAACTAAAAGTGCCATTAATCGATGAATCGGAGATCAAAGTAAGATGCGAAGCTATAAGAGCAGGGATCGTAACGGACAAAAGTGAACGTCTGTTCTACGTGTCTAAACTGAGACTTATCCGAGAAATTTAGCGACACCGCACAGAGGTTTTCACTTCATAATAAAGCTTAAAATTATTTATAACTGGAGGATTTTCTTTGGTAAATTAGCATGTTTAAAGGTACATCCTGACGTGAAAGAAAAACAATGGTATTGGTACCTGAGCGAAAGTATGTATGTCCTTGAGTGTTCACGTAGAAAGACTCTTAACAAACATTAAACAAGGAAACAAAACTGGATGAAGGTACTGTAATACCTAATTTACTTTAAAACTGCTAAGAGAAGAACCAAAAGACAAATCTCACTTATCTTAAATGTATAAACACTTGGTATCGCTCAGAGAAACCTTGAGCGAAATGGACTCATATCCATAGAATTTGAGGAGTAAAAGGGCTGTAGTGCCAGAAAAATGTGAGCTTAACACTCTTGAATGAATTCAGGATCACATAATTTTAGTGAAGCGACTTTAAATCACTTAATTTGAACCAAAATCGAAGAGAGAACAATGAGAGAATAGAATGGTGAGGTTCTGAGTTCTAAGATTGGATATTCAGAATTCACTTCACAATGAGGCGATAGTCTTCTGCTCCAGGTTGTTAAACACGATGATAATGATTGTCACAAACATCGTTGGAGTCGTAAATGGATTGAAATCATTGAAACCAAATGATTTCATATTGTCTCGATCGTTCTTGATGTCCATGAAATAGGAACCAAATATGAACTAACCTAACATTCGTGATTTGTTTTGTTGTTCCGCTCGTGAGTTGATGACGTTGATGACTGACTGCAGAGAGCACTAACACTGTTACTCTACCGTGTGTATGTGTTAGTGAAGTCGGGTTTCATGATTTTCGAGTTGCTGTCCAAGATACAGCCTAAACGGTAAAAGTAAACCCCAACTTATGTATAATTTTTGGAATCCTCATATCTTCAAGATGATTCCAGGAAATCACCATAACTTCATTCCAGAATAGTGTAAGCGAGAAATTCAATGATAAGCGTCGGCGGGTCGGGTCGCCCATTGCACCCGAAAAGCAGTTTAGACGCAATATTTCTCTTAGGATGCCTTGGATATTAATGAAACTAAAATGCACACTACACGGGAGCAAGACAATTCTTTTGATATAACATTATATAGGGCTCTGATGTCTCGTATTCTCTACAGCATTGTCCGAACGTGAAAATGGTCAAAGTGGATACTTTTCGCTATTTTAGGCACAAATGCGTAATTATCTCGTTTAATAAATCATCAACCTCCTTGAAACTCAACAGTTCGTTAGACGGGACCGAGATGCATCTTTAGACACCAAAATTTCTAAAATCCGTCGCTCCGTTGCTTTTAAAAGTTTACCGGACCGCAACTAAAAACCCAAATAAGCCAAGTTCGTGTAACTATGGTGTCGTTGCCTCAACCGGGCTGTGCTGTGTTGCCAATTGTTGGAGGATAGGTTACTTGCCCGGTGGTGGCTACCGCCACTCATGATGAGCCAGAAATTGTAGTTCTGATTGCAAGATGTAGTCCACTTCAATCCATTTAAAACCGGAGAACACTTTTTCAAATTATAACACCTGAGCTGAGCGTTAAGTTTCATTTTATTTCTTTACACGAAAATCATTTATGTACATTTTGTAGTAATATATTTATTTCGTTTGATTACGAAGGGGACGGATCGCCGACACGCTGCGACATTGATGTGTGTGGTAATTGCTACTTATTATGCCCGGACCGGTGGTCAGATTTGTACAACATGAGTTACCCGTCCGTCACCATGGACAAACTTACGGAACTCCGTCATAAGCGATTCCACCAGAGTCTCAATGAGAACCCATATTTTTTTGTCGCACCGTTTTCCGGAGTCTTCGTCGTGTCTGCAGCGTACACCTTCATCTACAGGTGCATTTTTTTTCAATACTGTTAGTTTCCTTTATTATTTTATTTTGTATTCAAATAAATGAGAAAGTCAATTCAATGCATAAAAAGGTGAGAGCGTTGGAAGTGTTCCAAAAAGTGGGCGCGATTCCTTATGGAGAAGCATAGAGTACCTATATTAAGAGAGCATGGCCACTGGTGTTACCACCTCTGATTGGCTCAGCCATATTAGGCTGAATGGAGCCCTTAGGACCCAAAAATGGCGGACGCCATGAGTTAATGGAATACAAAATGACTCAAAATGTTGTTTTCTTTGCTTATCGTAAAGAGAAATTTACCCAAATGCACTATTGCGACTTCTTTACATATTTTTACGGCTAATCGTGTGCAATTTTCGAGAAAAATTATCTTAGATATGTATAGTAAGGTTGGCAGCAAGTGCGGTTGGTGATACCCGTCAAAAGTTGGCAAGGATCCCCCTCCCATCCTCAAAAACCAAAACAAAGCACCGCCATTTTTGGGTCCTAAAGCCTCTCCATGGGGCCCAGTGGCCGTACTCTCTTAATATAGGTACTCCAGAGAAGCAGAAGAGCGGGATTTTACATTAAATTAAACGGAGCTATGTGCCAACTGTGCGAAGCACTCATGAGACGTGGGCGTAGCACAAGAGCGTTGTGGACAGGGCTCATGAGTTAATTCGGCAATATCGTTATCGTCCTTCCCATCGTCGCTTCTGACGTCATTGGCGCTTTATAATTCCCATTCACTCTTACGGCCCTCGACTAACGAGCACACTCTTTCTTTCCCACACGTCTCCGGTACCGTTGAGCAGAAATACGTCCATTCAGGAGCCCTTCAAGTATTACGTGAGGCATTTTCGCCAACTTTTTTGCCTCCCCCCCCCCCCCCCCCCCCCCACCGTAAGAAATCTCTGACCTCCCCTTTTGAATGGGTCAGTTGCGCTGGTCACAGAATCGTGTTTGGATGCTTAATTCTTGTAGATCAGCTATAAATAATAGGATCGGTCCAAACCGCAACCTTTCTAATACTTGCGTTTACACCTCGATGGGTTAGTTACGCTGGTCACAGAATCATGTTTTGATGCTTAATTCTTGTAGATTAGCTGAAAATATTAAGATCTGTGCCAACAGCAACTTTTTACATTCAATATTAACAGGGATATCGCCCACTGCAAAGTCGGGTTCTTGACGTCATCCACCGCGGTAGTGGCATCCTAGGTTCCTTCCACCTTGTTTTCGTCCAAGTTTCACCTTGAGTAACCAGTGCGTCACTGACTGATGAAAGCAGGGTGGAAGAAACCAAGGGTGTCACTACCGCGGTAAATGACGTCAGAACCCCGGACTTTTCAAAGGGCGATATCTCGGTTATTCTTGAACGTGGAAAGTTGTGCTTTGGACGGATCTTATTATTTTAAGCTTATCTACAAGAATCAAGCATCGAAACACGGTTCTGTGACCAGCGCAACTGACCCATTACATAAGATTGGCCAGGACCCCGGACCCCCCCCCCCCCC